AGATAAAAATGTTAGCAAGTGTAAGAAAGTTATAATGTAAGGAAGAAGGTGGCAGGGAGGAGCTCTAGGGGGAGGGCCACATTTGAGTTGAAGCCAAAATAAAGTCAGGAACTGAACCCCAGGTCTAAATGTGAGACTTTCAGACAGAGAGAACAGTCAGAGCAGAGGTAGAAATGGAGTTGGATGTGTTTGTAAACACTTAAGAGGCCAGTGAGGGGGTGACCTGGAGAGAGGCAGACTATGAGGGGGGCACATTGGTTCAAGGCTGATCTTAGAGGTCTGAGAAAGGACTCTGGAGGGGATCAGTGAGTTCACTCTGCATTGAACAGACGTACTGTCAGAACCAGGAACTAGTCAGAGAATCAACCAGGAAGACAAGACAAGGAGAGAATTTGGGTTGCTTTAGCCTTTATCAAACCCTGGCCACACCTCTTTTATGTGTGAATGGACATTATCAAGAGATGCCACTTCTGAGCTAATGAACCACTAAAACCAGTCCTCCCATCTGTTTTGATGGATGAATTACAAAAATATGCCTTTTCCTGATTGAGGCCGCAGGTACCGGGTTCAGCTTGCCATTACATGATTTCAGTCCTCACAACTCCTCAGCCCTGTACAGGGCACTGCGGACCATCTGTGTATGCCACACTTGAGAATTACGTTAATCCTCTGGCCAATAGCCATTGAGAGAGGGAAGCTATCACCGTGCAAAATCATCTATATTCAAGAATCCTGTTTCCCCAGGGTTCTTTTATGGTTGTTACCCACACCACGTGAATGCACTTTGTTCTTGGCATTCTTTCCTTTGGGAGAACAGAACTCTGATGTTTGAATGGAACCCTTTCTAGCGCCCTGGAAAGGAGGCTGACACCAGGTGCAACACATAAGCATGTACACCTACCGGATGAGGAGGATGTAGACTTCGTGTCTGGGCATCTCGTACTTCTCCACCAGGCTGAACATGGAATAGAAGCGCGGCACAACCAGGTTGATTAAAGACACCACAAAAGGCAGTAACAGCACTGCCCCAGGGTTCCTGTGCGTCTTCAAGAACTGCAGGGATGGAGAAGACACAGAGGTCCACTGAACTGCAGACCTTCCCCACTCACTCAGAAGGCCCCAGAGTAGAAAATCCCCAGAAATAGTTCCTCTGCTGTGAACTATTAAGCTACCATTGGTAAACACTCATCCTGTACCAAGCATATTGTGGCTGTGAGCGGCAAAGATGGTTCAACCAGGACTACTTAGTAAGGAAGGATCAAATCTGAATGCAGGTGTTTCTGACTCAGGCATTGTGATGGCTGATTTTTATTGTCAGCTTGACACAAGCTAGAGTCACGTGGGAAAAGGAACTCCAACTGAGGAATTTCCTAGATCCGATTGGCCTTTGGCATATCTGTGGGAATGGTCTTGATTACTAACCAGTGTAGGAGGGCTCAGCCCACTTTGGGAGGCACCATCCCTAGACAGGTGGTCCTGGGCTATATAAGGAAGCCAATGAAGCAGGAGCCTCTAAGTAAACCGAAAGGAGCCAGTGTTCTTCCATGGTTCCTGCCCTGACTTCCCTCCATGATGGACTGTGACCTGAAAGTGTAAGCCCAATAAACCCTTTCCTCCCCAAGTTGCTTTTATCACAGCAACAGAATAGAACTAGATCAGGGGCAAAAACTGTGTTGGGACTTGACTTCCCTTACCAAGATGCCTTGGGTGAGTAAGTTGAGTTCTCCCACTGTGGGGGCAAAAGTTCAAGCTATTGAAACCACAGTGCAAGGGACTGGTCACCGTGGGATTTCTCCCGCTTCTCTTATACAGCCTGAGGCATGCTCACCAGGCGTCCCTGTGCTTGAGAAATGAACTGGGAGAAGTCTAACCTATGCTGCATCTTTGTAGGAGGACACAGCTCCCTGGTGGATGGCTTCTGTGCAGCTGGGGGCCCTCTGCTGGGAGTCTTTCCCTGGAGTCTTGGAGTAAGAGATTCCCATGGGGTTTATTTATTGTCCTATGTTTTCTTCTCCTCCTCCTAAGGTCTGACCTCACCTCTAATCACTTCTAAAAGCTCCCCTTGCGCTTTGGTATGTCTTTAGAATCCCTCACACGTTGGTATGTCTTTGGAATGCTGCTGGTACTGTGGGTTGAATGTAAAATAACAGGCCTGTATGTTTAAATACTCGGTCCCCAGCTCGTGGCACTGTTTTGGGAGGTTGTGAGACCTTTGGGGCAGGAAGCATGGCTTGAGGAAGTGCAACACTAGACATGGGCCTCTGAAGGTCAAAGCCCAGCCTCTGGTTCCTGCCCATACTCTCTGCTTCCTGGTCCATCAAGATGGTCACCCACTCCTACTCTGCTAAGCAAGCCCAGCCATCATGCCTTCTCAGCCATGATGGACTGACATTCCCTGAAACCACGAGCCAAGATAAATCCTTCCTCTTCCTCCTTGGAGCTGCTTCAACCAGAACACTGAGGGAAGTAGCTGACAAATGTGGGTACCAACGCTGGCCCTCCATCTGGCACTTATCAGCTGTGGGGGCACCTGAGTGCTTGGTGACTCTGAACCAGGAGAGCACCTCATAACCCACAGAGGCGCACAAGAAGTCAGCGAGATGAAAAAAGGCCAAGCCCATTCCGCCATCCACTGGAAATCGTGGTCAGCAGTGATTGGCAACCACCAAGGTTGTGCCAAAAGTTAGCTCAGCTCAGCCTAGAGCTGAGACTCGAGCAAGAGAATGGTCTCAGGGCTTCACCCCTTCTCCATTGCTGCCCTGCACTTCAGGGCAAACATGGGAGGCAGAAGCCTTCACATCTGTAGCTGCCCAGCCATAGCTTCTACCTCACCCTGGGCAATCCCAGGCCCTTGAGACTGATTCAGTTTCCCCTCTTTCAGGGCAGACTTTAATATGGTCAGTGACAAACCTTTAGTCACTTAGAATTCACTGGTCTGTCAGACTTACTAAGCCTCTACTCTGTGACAGGTGTCATGAGGGCATTGGGACAGATTCATAAGGGAAAGCTAGGCATGTGGCATGCCTATAATCCCAGCGCTTGGGAGGCTGAAGCAAGAGAATCAGAACCAAGGCTAGCCTCAGCTTCATAGCATCACCTTTACTCCAAACACAGGGGAAAAATAAATGGGGCTGGAGAGACGGTTCAGCAACTGCTTACTGCTCTTACAGAGGACCCAGGTTCAGTTCCCAGCACCCACAGGTGGCTAAAACCTGTCCGTAACTCTAGTTCCACAGGACCTAACACCCTCTTCTGGCCTCTGTGTCATTGCATGACACAGGTATACTTACATACATGCAAGCAAAACACTAACACGCATAAAATAATAAACTTTTTAAAAACAGAAAACAATGTACACTTAAGAACTTGACCCCAGACACCTGCCAAAGACCCCATCTCCTCAGAGGCCCAGAGTGCCTCACCCTATAATATGCACTCACACCTTCTAGGACTCAATGAGTGCAGATCTGAGTGTGGGGTCGTAGGAAGAGGGGCAGTTCTGCCATTTCAAACAAGTCTCTACGGATGTGGGTGCTGCTGACCACAGAGCCCAGCTCGAGCAGGCGGCTCTCCATTCATCCCCAGAAGCATCCCACTGCTCCCCTGGCTCTCTCTGCTCTGGCCTCTGTCTGTGGGATTACCTCAGAGTTATACTCAGCCAAGAAGTACACGCCTGCAGAGCAGGCAGCGGCCACTCCAGTAGAGACAAGCCAGGCAGCCACATGAGCAGAGAAACGGGTCAGCTGCTGGTGGAATGTAAGTCTGGCATTCTCCAAAAGGATCTCGGACAGGTTCTCCTGAAAGTGTGAGACAGTCAAGTGGACCCTCCCCACTGTCAGCAGAGAACCCAGGGCAGCCCAGACTGCAGGGAGATGAGGAGAGTTGAGGATGAAGGTGGATCATGGGAGTTGGGGAGAGACTCTCAAGATGGCCAAGAACCTCCAAGAGCTTCAAACTCCATTTTCATCTTAGAGGAATGGGGGATGTAAAGGAACCATGGTCGTGGTGCCCTCCCTCCCTCCCTCCCTCCCTCTCTCCCTCCCCCTCTCTCCCCCCTCTATTTCCTTTTTCTCTTTTCTTTCTTCCTTCCTTGTTTCCCTTTTCTCCATCCCTTCTCTCTTTTCCCTCTTTCCCATTCCTCCCTTCTTTCCCTTTTATCTTTTTTTTTTGTTTTGTCTGAGGGAAACAAGATGTTACTATGTAGCCTATACCACACTCTCACATATTCCTGTTTCTGCCTTCCCAGTGCTAGTATGGGAGGTGTGGACCATACCACTACACACAGTAGACTTCTCTTCCTTCCTTCCTTCCTTCCTTCCTTCCTTCCTTCCTTCCTTCCTTCCTTCCCTCCCTCCCTCCCTCCTTCCTTCCTTCCTTCCTTCCTTTCATTTTGAGACAGGGTCTCCCTGTAGCCCCAGGTGGCCTGGAACTCACAGAGAGCCACCTGCCTTAGCCTTCTGAATGCTGAGATTAAAGGTATGCACCACCATCTCTGCCTCTTTTCTTTTAAAAAAGAAATTTTATTTTTACTATTTTTATTTGTTTGTGTGGACCACTGTGTTGGCCACTGCCCTCAGAAGCCAGAAGAAGGCATCAAATCTCTTGGGGCGGAGTTACAGGTGGCTGTGATGAGGGACATGACATGGGTACTGGGAATTGAACTCAGGTGCTCTGGAAGAGCAGCCAGTGCTCTTAACCACTGAGCCATCTCTCCAGCCCGAGGTGGAGTCTTTTCTTGATCAACAAAGCTAGGTACCACTTGGAAGACGGCGATAACTGTACAGCTCTGTTGTTAGTAATTTCTGCTCGCTCTTTCCTTTTTAATGTTTGCTTCTGTAGATGGGCGACTGAAACTCTGCACGGCTGACATTTTGGACCACCTCATTCTGTGTCACAGAGGCTATCCTTGTGTGATGACGTCCAGGCCTCTGTACAGGAGATGTCACTTGCACCTTCTCCCCAGTTGTAGCAACTGAAAAAGTCTCCAGACATAGCCTGAATCCCCCTGAAGGGCACTGTTGGTCCAGGTGGAAAAATCACTGCTCTGGGATAGAATTTTCAGTCAAGAAGTGTGAGTTCAGGAAATAGATGCATTTTAAGATGAATTGCTAAGGTGGCCTCTGTGACGGGTGATCACAAGGCCCTGACAGCCTATGGGATGTCGTATCCCCATGTACTTGCCTGCACTAGGAATTACTCAGAGGTTCGTTTTTAGCCCATCTCTATCAGTAGAACAGTAATTATTACAAAGAGAGGTTATAGACAAAGCCAGGAGTGCTGTGCATGCCTGTAATCCTGGCATTTGGGAAGCTGAGGCTACAGGGTCTCAAGCACCAGACCAGCTTGTGATACACAGTGAGACTCTAACTCAAAGGGATGGGAAGGGAAGGGAGAGAAGGGAGAGAAAAGGGGATGGAAGGGAAGAAAAAGAAAGCAAGCTTTAGGTACACAGGGCAGGGGAGGAGGCCATAGGAAGAGCTGGCAGGTAAGTGTGTCTTACCCTTATCTCTGTGCTCAGATTCTTCTGTTTCAGCTTCACAGCTTTTTCGTGGGTAACAGTGAAGTCCCAGCAAAAGACAAGCTTAGTAATCCCTCTGGAGTAGATGTGGGGGTTGATGAAGTTGTTCCGGAAATACTTGGCCATGCTGAGGAAAAGCAGGGACCAAAATGGCCAGGCGTTATTATGACAGTCATGGAGCAGAGCGGGGACCCATTACCGCACAGCCAGTGAAAGGCAACATGGACAATTCAAACACTTCCTAGGGCAGAGGGATTATCAGCACAATTTATACATTACAGGGCCTGGCAGGCCTGGCTGCATTTTGCCAACAGGGGGACCTTTGCCCTATTAAGAATTCTGAGCCTCAGCTTCCACGTCTGTATAATTTGGGTGACAATAGTACCCACCCCACAGACATTATGAGAGTTGTGTCAGCTTCCCATGGTTCTACGATGGACTACCCCCAACCTCTGGCTTAACACATCTCAAGGATATTATGTTATATTTCTGAGATCAGAAGTCAAGAAAGGAGGGGGCTGGGAAATGGCTCAGCCAGTTAAGCACTTGCTGTGCAAACATGAGGACCTGAGTTTGGATCCCCAGAACCCACCTAAGAATGCTGGGCATGTGTGCTTGTAACCCCATCTCTAAGGAGACTACAGGACTATTCCTGGGCCTCCCTAGCCAGGCAGCAAGCAGCAAGCAGCAGGCCAGCAAGAGACCCTATGTTAAAGGAGCTGGATGGTGTCTAAGGAGAGATACCCAAGGTTGTCCTCTGGGCTCCACACACATGTGCACCCCTACACACACACATACACACACACACCACACAAACACACGTTTTTAAAAAGAAGTCAGTAAGTAGGTGTTTCAGGACTGACTTCAAGGTATAGCAGGCTGGGCTCCTTCTGAGGGAACTAAAGAAAATTGATCCATTTTTTTTGCCTCTGCAACTTCTAGAGGCTGCCCTCTACCCTTGACTTGTGGCCTTTCTTTCACTTTCAAAACCAAATTCCTTCTCTCTCTCTCTGACCTCTCATCTTCCCTTTTTCCCAGTCTTTTTAAGACAGGGTCTTCCTATAGCCCTAGCTGGCCTGGAACTCACTGTGTAGACCAGGCTGGTCTCAATCTCATAGAGCTCCACTTGCCTCTGCTTCCCAAGTGCTGAGATTAAAGGAATGACACCCAAGGTTGATTTCTGACCTTCACACACACAGCATACAAGTGTGCATACACAGACATGTACATGTACACAAAGACACACACATACATGAGCATACACTTGCACATATACACATAATAAAATAAAGCAAAATCCTTAGGATCAGGTCAGATTCCACACCTGAACAGCAGACTGAAGAAGCAGGTGACCAGGCAGGCTCCGAATGTGAAGATGTAGGCCAGCTGCATGTTGTAGGAAGCCCCTGTCCCATGCTGGATCGTGGTGTTGGTGTAAAACCCATAGTACATCACCGTGTCTCCAAAATAACCCTGGTGGGGACAGTAAAAAGATCCAAGTTACAGGGCTTGCTCAAGAGAGAGGTGAATGGCTGAGGTCTGACCCACCTGCAGGAATTCAGGCAGTCCCAGAACCTCTCAGTGTTCAAGGAGAGTGGGTCCAGAGCTGCTGAAGACATCACCGTCTGCAGATGCACAAGTCTCCTACATGCATTGGCCCAGTGTCTGCACAGGACCGATGTCCATCCTCCCACCTTCTGAGTCACCTTGAGATGACATAGCATGCCTAATGCAACCTGAATACTCTGTAATAGCTGTCGTAGTGTATAGATTAGAGAGGCAAGGACGAAGACTGCCTGAATGCTTAGCACACACATCATTTTAAATATATTTTTATGTATTATTTTTATTTTATGTGTATGAGTGTATTGCCTGCATGTATGTGAGTGCACCCATATCGTGCAATGCCACGGAGGTCAGAAGAGGGCTGGAGTTAAGGATGGTTCATAGCCACCATGTGGGTGCTGGGAATCGAACCCAGGTCTTCTGCAAGAGCAGTCAGTGCTCTTAACCACTGAGTCATCTCTTCAGCCCCACACACATAATTTTAAAGAATCATGCATGCGTGCGTGCATGCATGTGCGTGTGTGTGCACATGTGTGCGTGCGTGCGTGTGTGTGTTTGTGTGTGTGCAGGTGACTAGAGGAGGAAGTAGGGTGCCCTGCTCTACAACTCTCTACCTTATTCCCTTGAGATATAGGCTTTCTCTGAACCTGGAGCTTGCCAATTTTCTGGCTACCCTGGCTCTCCAGTAAGCTCCAAAGACACTCCTGTCTCTGCCCCCCACAGAGCTTGGATTACATGTACATGCATGCAGTCATGCCCTGTTTTTTATGTTGGTGCTGGGGATCCGAACTCAGTTTCTTGTTTACGCAGCAAGTGCTCTTATCCACTGAATGATCTCCCCAGCCTGACACAAATTTTAAAGATTTTTTTTTTTTCCACTTGTGGTTGATTGAATCAAAGGATTTTCCAGGAAACAGACCTAGGGGGCCACCTGGGATCTAGATGTTTTATCACTAGCTCTTAGAGTTGAAGGGGTTTTCAAAATAACACTATTTTACAATTAAGGGACCCCTCTGTGAGCACTCAGACTTGGGAGCAAGCCAAGCATCACTGAAATCAGGGCGCCAGACATCTCGAACCTCTGCTACCTAGTCAGTTTGCTGGCCTCTAGGTTCATTTCAGTTGACAGGAAACCAGGAAGCAGAGAAGTGAAATGGAAGTAACTCCAGAAGACAGAACATTAGTGTCTATAAAACAACTGGTCTCGTTTTTGTAATAGCTCATATCAGAAGAAGAGAGCAGAGCTGGGGACATTATTCTAGATTCATAAAGACTTAAGACAAAAGAACAGAATACTAACTCTGGTCTTTGAATCCTGGTCCGAACAAGCAAGCTATGAAAGACAGGTGGAGGAAATCGGGAAAATTCTAATATAGTTTGGAGGATTTATTCTTTCTGTATGAATGCCCGTATGTTTTGAGTTTCTTTACTTCAGTAAAGGTTGCTCTCTGTTGGGTCTGAGATTTTTCTCTTGCCTTTTAATTCTTTGATTGGCAGAGAAAACGGACCAAATCAAGACCCCTAGATGATAAGAAATGTGGCAATGGTAATGTGACCATTCTTATATTTCAGAGGCATGTTGAAAATTACAGAATGGGATGTCCTGGTGTCTGAAAGTGTCTTTCTTCTTTGATTCTTTTTCAATCATTAAAAAAATGTAAAAGCTAATTTTAGTTCACAGAGATGCAAAAGCCAGTGCTCTGGGGCTATACTTTTAGCAGCCTTGCTAGGGCTCAAAGGCAGACGTCTTTTTTTCTTTTTTTGGTCTTTTTGAGACAAGGTCTCCCTGTAGCCACAGTTGGCCTGGATTCGCTAATGGAGACCAGGCTGGCCTCAAACTCAGAGTGATCCGCCTGCCTCTGCCTCCGGAGTGCTGGGATTCAAGGTGTGCGCCACCACACCCAGCTGGCAGATGCCTTTTTAAGGTCAACTCATAAGGAGAGGTTAAAAACCTCAGTATATGGATTAATAAACTTTGATTGCTGTTAAGAATAATAATATGGATTTATAAAAGTGTTAAAGGCACCCTCCTTTTCTTGGCGGGGTCTGGGCATGTGGTGCCGCTCACTGTTATGTGCAGAGGCAGAGGAAAAGGGCCATGGCCCTACCGGAGTCATGTCTTCAGTGCCATCGGCTCCCTGTCTGTCAGTTCTATCCTCAAACACCAGGACACGGGTCAAAAAAAAAAAAAGTTCAAATGCATGGAAGTAACCCAGGGGTGGAGGAAATGGACAACTTACCGCCCCGCTTAAAAACTCCAACCCAGTAAACTGGAGTGTGTTCTTCTCAGCCACAGTGAACTGGGGGATGACGATGAAGCTGAAGATCACCACAAATGAGAAAATATTGAACCTCAGGAGCCACCTCAGAAAGCTGAAGTAGGACAGGACGCTGGTTCCAAACTTGCCACCGATGGCCTTAAGCGTCTTTTGCCACAAGCTGACAGAATTGAAAAGCTCAGAAAGGCTGCTTTTGGATCTGCGGTAAGCCTGGAGCGAGGAGGCAGAGGAGAGAGACTTGGTTCTCATTGACAAATGGCTCCTGAGGCAAGTGCAATTGCAGCAAAACAGCTTCATTCTGAGCCAGGGGGTTGCAAAGGTGACCTCATTCATCCTCACAACAACCCTCCCAGTGTGTTCAGTGGCCAAGCTGGCCCCTAACTAACTTCCTAGACCTTCACTGTGCCCATCTCTTTACCCCAGACCTATGCTGACCTGTACAGTCTGAATTTTGGCTCCCCTTCCCTCCATCCCCTCCTTCGGCCCAACTCCTCCACCCCCACCCCATGAAGCAATTTATTAACCCAGCATCCTTTGTTCTAATGCTCCTTGTTGGCAGCTGCCACCTGTCTGGCAATTCTGTCCACATCTCTCTGTCCCTGAGTCGTTAGCTTATGGCCCCCATTTTGGTCTTTTTCCAGCACTTTCAACCCCTCCAAGGCTTGGAGGACCCGGCAGACCCACACTTTTGGAGCCTCTGCTGAAGTGGCTGTGCCTGACACCTCTTCTCTGACATCCTCCATAGATCTTGGTCATGGAGCCAACCTCAGCACTGCCAGGGAAGGCACAAGTGCCACTGTGGAAGCAGTCTTGTGCAGAACCAGCTCTCCTCATAGGGAGCAAGCTCTTTATGTTTGGCTGGCTTGACTGTGTCCACCCATTCTGGAACTTACAACTTCCCAGACTTTTTGAGGAAGGCTGCCGGAGCTCAGACAAACTCCTGCTGGTTTATGTCTTTTACAGTAATTCCAGGAATCATTTGACCTCAGCACTGCCAGCAGGGGAAAGGGGTGCCCTTGACTCTCCCTGTTGCTACAATCTTACCTTACCCATTATGGATGAGCCACAAAACAGACCAATAAAACAACTCCACATAATGCAGCTACGCTTTTCTGGGTATATAAACGAAAGAAATGAAATCCACATACCATTAAAGTTCTTTCAACCCTATATGCAAGAGCTAAGATATGCAATCAACCTAGGAATCATTGGTGCACAAACGGGTGAAGAAAATGTGGAATATACACCCAGTGGAATATCATTCGGCTACAAAGAAGAGCAAAATCTTATCATTTGCTGAAATATGGATGGAAACGATGGACATTATCCAAAGTAAAATACAGCACACACAGAAAGACAAATACGGCATGCTCACTCTCATATATAGAAGCTTTGAAAGTCACCTGAATGCGGAACAGCCATTACTAGAGGCTGGGAAGAACTAGGGGCTGCGGTGCAGATGCCAAAACAGACAGAAGGAATGAGTTCTGGTGCTCCCCAGTGGGTTACTGTGCTTCACAGTAGCCCAGTATATTCGTTACAAGAATCTGGCTGAGGAGCTGGAAGGACTAGAGTGCATGCTTTAGCATATGTCAGGCCTTGGGTTCAAGCCCCATCACCTAGAGAAAAAGAAAGAAAAGGGGATGGAGGGGGGAGGAATGGAATGCAGGAAGGAAGGGAGGGAGGGAGGGAAAGGAAGAAAGGAAGGAAAGCAGAGAGGGAGGGAAGGAAGGGAAGGGAGGCAGGAAGGCAGGAAGGGAAGAACTTGTAGGACATTGTCCTCTGAGCAGGACGTGACCATTGCACTCTTGAACACTGAACAGCTGTAATTACTAGAAGGAGACCAGCACAAGACTGGGCTCATTAATTTTCTGTCACAGACAGGGACAGAGACAAAGACCTAAGAGGCCTGGCTCCTCCCAGAAGATAAATAGGCACTCAGCAGTTGCTAGGGGGAAGGGCTGCCAGGGCCCTGCCCTGTGTGACGATGTATAGGCAGCTAATAGTTGCTGGGAGAGACAGACATTTTCTTCAGTGCTATAGCAGCCTGTAAGTTGCCTGTGCTCCTGTAGGTAATCCTAACTAAACTCACTGGTTCACCATGCCAGACTGGAATGGAATCATTTCTTTAGTCTGTCTTTGGTGCCCTGTCTGGGATGAGTAGAGGTTTGTTCATCGTCCAAGGAAAAGTTCATGTAACAGAAAGTCAAGGAGAGGAAAATGTTAATTAACCAAGATTTATACCATGCAGACTGTACACATGCATTGAAATAGAACATGATACTGCAACAGCATGCAAATTATGTTAACGAAAAATTGTTGTTATTGTATTGTTATTTGTTTGAGACAGGATCTTACTATGTAACCCTGGCTAGCCTGGAACTCACTATGTAGATCAGGTTGGCCTCAAACTCACAAAGATTCATCTGTCTCTGCCTCCCAGTGCTGGGTGGGGCTAAAGGTGTGCACCACCGCACCCGGCTGAAAACAATCTTGTGAAGGGCTGACTTACCAGAGAAAGTGAGTTCAGACACTGAGCACAGCCAGTGGCTCCCAGGATACCGTGGGACTGTTTACTTTTTTCCTTGTCAACTATTTTCCTGTGGAAAATGGCAGGAGAAAATAAAATATATCAACATTGTAATCCATTCCTGCCAAAAATTAGCTCCCATTAGGCATGGAGACACCTGGGTGCAGTCCCAGCCACTCACTTAGTCCTGGGCTTAGGGGCAGATGGAGAAACCTACTGAGACGTAGTCTCCGTACATAAATGATAAATAAATAATTGGGCTGCTATGGTGTATCACAGATGGCTGAAGGCAGTAAGCAAAAGAGCCAGTTTCCCCGGATGGTAGAGCTGATTGGCAGGGAAAGGCAACAGGTAACAAATAACAGTGATAACACAGAATAAAATACACAGTGTAATATATTGGAGATGAACTTGTGCCTGGAGTATTGCCATCTGCTTATAATCTTGTAGCCTAAAAATTACTCATTCCTCTGAAAAGTGTAAGCCAGCCGGGGGCAAAACCACGAGCACCCTAAGATGAGGGGTGGAGCTGCCTGGGAGACAGAGAGCCTGTGAAGAGTTAGCTGCGGAGAGGTAGCACGGCATTGTGGGACACTTAAGACTATGGGTGCAGTGCATGAACGCTAATGGATACTGAGGGTGGGACTTGAATGATGTGCAGGTCCTGAGAAGCTGTTTCTTTGCAAGTCACTCCCTCCCAAAGTCATAAAACGGTACAAAACCCAAACTAAAAATGTCTCATGTTAGTCTGTGAGCCCTGGGGCCTCGGAGGGCACACGCATGTGAGCCTCCCAAGAAGGGAAAAGGGGAAAATTTAGTGCAACAAATCCCAACACTCAGGAGGAGGAGACAGGAGGATCGCAAATTTGAAACCAGCCAGGGCTGCATAGTGAGACCCTGTCTCAAAAAAAAAATGTAAAAAAAAAGAAATTTTTCTATGGAAAAGCAAGAGGACTGGGGTGGCTTGAGTGGTAGAGCACTTGTCTAGCATGCACAAGGCCCTTGGTTCTATCCCCAGCACAGTACAAAATCAGGTGTGGTGGCTCAAGCCTGCAATCCCAGCACTCAGTAGATGGAGGCAGGAGTTCAAGGTCATCCTTTACTACATGACCAGTTCTAGACCAGTCTGGGCTACCTGAGATCCAGTGTCAGAAAAGGAAAAGAAAATAAAAAATCAGGGTAGGGTAAAGATCTGGGAAGTGTAAGAGAGGAGACTATAAATGGTAACCTGCTTAGTTAGAGGAGGGTGTTTGTATGGATCGGGGAAGAGCCCACACCTGAGAACAGCATCCCATGCCCAGGGGACCACAATGGGAAGCCTGAGGAATAACCAGAGCACCAAGGAGGCACAGTGGCTGCACCAGAACGAGCTGCGGAAAGGGAAGAGACTGTGACTGAGCAGGGAGGAGTGTGTTCCTAGATGTTTTCAACCAGGGAAGATTTTGAGCCACCCAAGATTCAGCCATAAGTGTCTTGAGGGACACTTATGTAGGGAGAGTGGCTATGGCACCTACCAGAGGCCTGGATTGCTGCAAAATACTCCAGAATGAAGAGGAAAGCACCCATATCACAAAAGGAGCCCACCCCACATGCTGGTTATCTTGTGGTTGAGCAATCCTTCCATAAGACCTTTGGGGTTTATTTATTCATTTTTATTATATTATTATTATTTTATGTGTATGCATGTATTGCCTGCATGTAGGTAAGTGCACCCATGTCATGCAAAGCCTGTGGAGGTCAGAAGAGGTTGTCAGATCCCAGGACTGGAGTTAGGGACACTTGTTAGCTGCCATGTGGGTGCTGGGATTCCAACCTGGGTCTTCTGTAAGAACAACCAGTGTTCTTAACTGCTGAGCCATCTCTCCAGCCCCTATTTATTCATTTTTATTTAATGTATATGAGTGTTTTGCCTGTGTGTATGTAAGTGCACCTGTGTGGGCAGTGACTGGGGAGGCCAGAAGAGGGTGTCAGATCCCTTGGAACTGAAGTTTAGGGCTTGTTGAAAGCCTATGTATGCGTGCTAGGAACTGAACCAGAGTCCTCTGGAAGAGCAGCCAGTTCTCTTAACCACTGAGCCATCTCTCCATGCTCAAGGCCTTTTGGGTTTTATTCCAGCATGCAGTGCAGAACTTGATATGGAAGAAGGTTTTCAGAAAGACACAGGCATGGACTGGAGGGCATGATCCAGCAGTAGGGCACTTGCCTAGCATATATGAGGCCCTAGGTTTGATCTCCAGTACTACACACATACAGAGGGGCGGGGGGAGGGGCACAGTGGACACATTTGCGTATTGATCTCTTTACCCTTCAACTAAGTCTCAGTCCTTCAAAGGCCAACCCCATATCATCACCTTTCAAGGTTTGGCTCAGGGCCCCATTAGGGCCCCCACTGACTCCTAGTTCTCCCACAGTAGGCTCCTTCCTGACTGGGCCTGAGTTTCCTTCAGTCATTTCTTAGTTTGGCTGTCAAATTTATTTTCTCTGCCAGTTTTAAGAATTTATATTTTTTACATTTAAAAATTTTGTATCTTGTGTATGTGTTATAATGTGTGTATGTGTGGGCACACTCATTCCTGTGTGTGAGTGTGCGCATGCGTGTGCCACAGAGTACGTGCAGGGATCAGAGGACAATGTCAGAGGACTGCCTTACTGGACAGTCTCTGGTTCACCACTTGGCACTGCAGGCAGGCTGGTCCATGGGCTTCTGGGGAGTCTCCTGTATCTGCTTGTCACTGGAGTGTGGGATTATGGCCTCTGTCATTATGTGGGTTCTGGGGACTCAAACTTGTCCCCATGTTTGCATGGCAAATGTTTCACCCACTGAGTCCTCTCCCCAGCCCAGAAAGGTATTTGCAGCCTCCTTGTCTGCCTCAGGCAAATGGACCTGCTGGATTAGTTATTAGCAACTGGGCTGCATTCACTCTAGCAGTTTCTGCTAATGATCACAGTTTAGAAAAGAAAAGCTCTCTTTTTGCAACTTGGAGGCTGGGAGTCTTTGCTCAATATTATAGTACTTGGTTAGCTTGCCTGAACTGTGTTTAATGCAAAGTTTAAACAGTAAAATAACCCTGATGTTTGTTATTTTAAGTCCTGATTTTAGGAAACTTCTTAGATCTCTGTGTGTACACATGTTCAGGTGTACCTGCACATGTGTACACATGCATGTAGAGGCCAGAGGACAACCTTAGGCATTTCCCACCTTTTAATTATTTATTTATTTATTTATCTTTATTTAATCTATGTGAGTGTATTGCTAAATGTATATAAGTGCACCCATGTCATGCACTGCTTGTGGATGTCAGAAGAAGGCGTCAGATCCCCTGGAACAGTTGTTAGCTGCCATGTGGGGGCTGGGATTCCAAACTGGGTCTTCTGCATGAGCAGCCAGTGCTCTTAGATGCTGAGCCATCTCTGCGGCTGCCTACATTAAAAAAAACTTTTTTAAAAAAGACAGGCTTCCTCACTGGCCTGGAGCTGATTAGCCTAGACTGTCTGGCCAGTGACTCTCAGGGAACCCCCTGTCTCTGCCCCCCAGTCCTGGGATTACAAGAACAACCACCCTGTCCACTTTTTTATGTGGGTTCTGAGGATCAAACCCAGATTCTCATGCTTGCATGGCAAGCACTTTACCAACTGAATCATCTCCCCAGCTACTTCCTTTTATTTGAATAAACTTTTAACTTAGAAGTAGTTTGAAATTTACAGTAAACATTCAGTCCACATGGAGTATTCCCAATATTTCATCTCACTGGGTTCCCCTGCTAGCTCTTACTTTCTGTGGTGGGTTTGTCAGAATGAAGACACCAGCACAGGCATGCTCCTTAAGTTTCCCAGAACCCCACATTACATTTATTGAACTGTCTCTTTCAAATCCTCTGTTCTCTGACAGTCTCTCAGACTTGCTTTGAGTTTTTGACTGGGCAGTTTGAAGATACATGATTTGGAGATTTTTGAGGTTTTGCCCAATGGGTCTCTCTGATGACTGGTTCTGGGTTTGAGAGAAGACCACAGAGGGAGCTGTTCTTCTTGGAACATTTTTTGTGGTGTTAAGTCAGTACCTGGCCCAGGCAGCAGCATCCAGACCTCACTGGAGACTTGCTTTTCTCCCCTTTCTAGAGTCTTCTTTAGAAGAAATCACATACCAAAGCCCACACACCCTTCAGGGAGGGAGATCAAGATCCAGTCCTTAACAATCTAGGCATGACTAGACATAAGCCTCTAATCCTAGTACTTGGGAGGTAGAGCAGGAGGATCAGGAAATCAAGGCCACCTTTGACTTTATAGCAAGTTGGAGGCCAGCATAAACCACATAAGGCCAGAATCAGTAAAACAAACAAACAAAAGCTGGGCATGATTCATAAATTTAATTCAGCACTGTGATGGCTGAGGCAGGCAGATCCTGAGTTTGAGGCCAGTCATGACTACATAGGAGACATTATCTCAAAAGCGAGTTGGGGGTGGGAGGGAGGGAAAGAGAGACAGAGACAGAGACAGAGATAAAGAGACAGAGAGGAGGAGAAAGAGGGAGAGAGAGGGAGAGAGAGAGAGAGACTTTCATAAGGAGGACCCATCTCTTCTCTTTCATTTCTTTCTTTCTTACCTTTGTGAGACAGTAAAGGGGAAAAGAAATGTACCCATGAATTGAGTGTTACTTTTATGTGTGTCTGATACTGTTTTATGACTGATCTTATATTTTTCATACTTTGGGAATCTAGCACTCAGCCTATAGTGGTTTTATGAATGCTTACTAAAATGGAGAACATTAAAGACTTCAGAGCTATCTTGAGGAGAAAATACTACAGTTTCTAGTTGGAGTGTCTGCTTGCAATGACCTTGTTAAGATGCCTGAAGTAAATTCTGTTGAGAGTGTCTTAACCCTGGCCCTTAATCTCTGCATCTACAAATGTGCCTGCAGAAGGAATTTCCCCTTGGTGGTCTTAGGACATGTAGGCATCTGTGCTTGTACTCATGAAGATTGTAATTTAAATCTACAAATGTTGTGACAGTTAAGACATGATACAGGGGATCCTATAAAACTGTAAAACTGTGACCTTCGTGTTAGCTTATCTAAGTTTGAGTTCTCCTTCCCTCCAAGTAACACTCAGTTTCTTGGCTCCCTTGTTTCCACAATAATGAGGCAGTGGTAGATTGAGGTTCCTATGAGATAAGAACAAAAATCCAGTCATACCTAAGCTTCCTTTTCTCTTCCATGGTCCTCGGCTGGTTCCGGATGGTTTTGATTCTGTCTCTAGATGTCATGGGAAGCAGGGATGCAATCAGCCTTTGTCCTGAAGAAGAAAATAAACAGAGTTTAGTTTCTTTTTTCTTTAACGAAGTCATAACATTTTTAAAGATGGCACTGGAGTGCAAACATGGAGCCAGTTTCCTCCTCAGAGGAAACCCTGGGTTGGTTTTAATGACCTAGTTGAGGTAAAAGGAGGCTTCCCCAAAGGTCAGCAAACCACTCTACTGAAGATGAATTTGTGTTACTCCTGTGCAGGGAAGGCAAGAAGACAGAGGGGAAGAAAAGCCAGGGGAGGGAAGGGGCAAGGAGACATGAGGAGAGGGCGTGTGAACCCTGATGCCCTGTTGGTTTTAAAGAGTTGGGTGTGGGGACATGTTTTTTCCCTCTCTTAGAAATTATGAACAGCGACAAGATCTTATGCCCAGAATGGAAAAATACATATTTTTAAAAAAGTTGTTTGTTTGGTTTTTTTTTTGGTCTTTTTGAAACAGGATCTCCCTGTAGTGCCAGCTGGCCTGTAACTCACTATGTAGACCAGGCTGGCCTTGAATTCACAGAGATCCTCCTGCCTCTGCCTCCTGAGCGGTAGGACTACAGACTTGTGCTACCACACCCAGCTTAAAAAAGTTTTTAGACAAGATCTCCTGTTACTCAGGCTGGTCTCAGGGAAGGCTGGTCTCAAACTCCCTGTGTAGCTGAGGGTGATTTTGAACTCCTGCTTCCCCTTCCTCCATTTTCTGGGGATGGAGACCAGGGCTTCTGGAATGCTAGGCAATGCCCCAGGACCTATACTCGGAATATTGGGAGTCAAACAGAAATAGCATTTCTGTTGGTCTCAGGAGCTCAGAGGCTGAGAGGAATCAGGCAGGACCCGGGGTTCAGGATGAATGCAGCTTTAAGGGATCCTGTCTATCCCCTGAAACCAAGGAGGCAATGCATCAGACCAAAATGGGACAAGGTAGAGCTGAGGACTTAGGATTGGTGATCAGGTAGCTCTGTATTTGGTCTCAAGTCTCCTAAGTCCCTGAATTTTCCTGAGCCTCAGTTTCCTTACTAAGCCTGCCTCAAAAGTGCAGAGTATGGGAATAAATACAGCTAAATTTGATCCTTAACAAAACTAAATTTGATGACTAAATTCTAGGCACATGAAACAAGGTTATCCAGAAAGTAAGCTCTCAGAGCAACCCTTCTCTTCATTCCCAGCATCCTTGGTTTACTGACTATGTGTTCAAATATTACTTGATATCTTTTAAAAACACTTTATTTATTATTTTTATTTTATGTGTATGCGTGTATTGCCTGCATGCAGGTAGGTGCACCCATGTCCTGAAATGCCCACAGAAGTCAGAAGAAGGTGTCAGATTCCTCGAAACTGGAGTTACAGATGGTTGTTAGCCACCATGTGGGTGCTGGAATTCAAACCCGGGTCCTCTGCAAGAGCAGCTAGTGCTCTTAACTGCTGAGCCATCTCTCCAGCTTAAAAAAAAGAGGCTGGGGAGATGTGCAAAGTGCTCCTTCACAAGCATGACCATCTGACTTTGGATCCCCAGCACCCACAGAAATAGCCAGGCACAGCATTACATACCTGTAATTATAGCACTGGGGATGCAGGTACACAAGGACCCTTGGGACTGACTAGCCAGTCAGCCTAACAGAATCCATGAGATCCAGGTTCAGTGAGAGACCCTGTCTGAAAAAGCACGGTAGAGTGGCCAGCAAGATGGCTCAGCAGGTAAAAGCTCTTGCTTCAAAAGCCTGACGACTTGAGTTCCATCCCTGGAACCCATGTAAAGGTGGAAAGAGAGAACTGACTTCACAGAGTTTTCCTAGGCCTCCTCATATATGCCATGTCATGAGCAAGTGTGTGCACACACATGTGCACACACACACACCACATGTACTCACATACACAATAATAAATACATTTTTTAATTAAAAAATATGGTGGCAAGCAGTTAAGGAAGACACCTAATCTGGAAGATACCACTGCACAAGTGAACACACATTTATATGCACGTGCATACACACACACACACACACACACACACACACACACAAGTAAATAAAAACCTTGTGGATGACTTGGAAGCTAATTCCCTAATGTTTCCCAAACATCCTATACCTTGAATGGTTTCCTGGGAAGGATAGCAAGTGTCCATGCTCAGGCAACCTGGGCTGCGATGGATTGGATAGATGGATTCATTCAGAGACGAAAACCTCAACAACTGGTTGTGTCTCCTGTCGATTCCATGGCGGAAAATTTGACAGTCTACGGAATCTATGTCAGTCACCGACGATACCGTGCTGAAGGTAGGTTTTGCCAGTGACTTTCTTAGAAAAATCTGGTTCAAGGATGGAAGACTTTGGGTCTCAGATGGAACACTCTCCACTTCTATGATGATTTCATTTACTTGGTCATCTGATAGCATTTCCTGCCTCTTATGAGTCTTGTTTTTCATAGTGTTGGTTGTCAAAGACTTCATAAATATTCATACTGGCATTGTTGGACCCCACCAGGGGAGAACAAGGACACTGGAAAAGGGATGCCCCCATTCACATCTTACCAATGCCAGAAAGAACTCGCCAAAGCCAACCCCACACAAATCCCAACGTGACTGCCTCTGTCCCTTGAGGTCTCCTCAGGAGATGTGTTTCCCTGCAGAGAATTCTGTCTTGGTAGCTAGGTGAGAGATTAGAAACGGAACCCTTCATTAAAGACAATGGGATTCTATAAATAGAAGGCAGAGATTCTTCTAAATGGCCGTGTCTTTCACCCTTTCACCTTTGTGCCTGGAGACAGCTGTTTGGAAAGCAAGAAGACCAGTACTCTCTAAGGATGATGGGGAGAGAAGCTACAGAGGGACGGGAACTGGGTCCTCATGGGGAGTAGCTGCTCTAGCGATGTAGTCTCTCCACTCTTCTTGTTCCCTAAGGAAAATAAATCCCTTCATCACTGAGCTATTGCTCTGATTCAGTGTCAGAGACTTGAACACAATTGCTATACAATAAGCCTGATTTAGCCAGGTGTGGTGGCACACACCTTTAATCCCAGCCCTTGGGAGGCAGAGGCAAGGGGAATCTCTGTGAGTTCAAGGCCAGCCTGGTCTACTTGGCAAGTGCCAGGCCAGCTGGGGCTAAAAGGAGACCCTGTCTCAAAAAGACCAAAAAAACAAAAAACAAAAACCAACCCAATAAGCCTGCTTTAGAAGTCGTTTATTTCCTAGTTGGTGAAACTGAGGGACAGAGCGATGAATTGAGGTGTTCCACCCACCGACTCCTATTAAATGTCAGGGTTGCACGAGAACCTCAGAGGTCCTCCCCACAGTGGTCATTAACATTACCCAGACCTGCCATTACTGGATAGAGTATATCATTTAGTTGCACAAGTACCCTGAGACCAGGTACTATCATTAGCCCCATTTCCTAGCTAAGAAAACTGAGCGGCAATTTGCCCAAGGCTAAGACATCAACATGTGTCAGGGCCAGAGGTCCAATTCAAGTTGGTCTGAATCCAAAGCACTTCACCTTTGCCTCTTCCTTGAACAATGCTGTGATGTTCGTTCATTCATTCATTCATTCATTCATTCATTCATTCATAAATTAATAAGGATTTACCAGTGCCTGGTATGCGCCAGGGGCTTTGGTGGACAGCAAAATCTATTAAAGTGGCACTTTATCAATTGATACATGGTTTAAAAATCAAAACCAATGAAAGAGAAAATGAGAAAAAAGTTGCATCTATTTCTTCACTCCCCTCTGCCTTTGGGGATTCTTCTTCAAACCTCATGCTGTCTGGACAGATCAGTCTTATGAAGGTCAAAGACATTGCCTCTCCCCAATAGTTAAATCCAGTCTCTAGTAGTAACTGCCTGCCAGGCTGCAATATCTACACCTTGTGAAAGATACACTCCAGGTTGGGAAGGTTCTCGAAGGATAAGACTAAGGCTGACTGTCTTAAGCTGTGGAGCTGGGAGGTAAAGGACAGCTTTAACTCATGGGGTCCCTCCGTTTGTATTAGGATATGAAAGAACCCATTTGTTGATTCTTTGTTCGCAGACTTGCTTTTGCATTCCCTGTCCTCTCTCTGATGGCTTCTTTGGACTCCAGTTGTCTCTGTTTCTCATCCAACCCTCTTCACCTCACATGAGGTGATTTTCCTAACACTCCAAAGCCTTCTGTCTTTCAGGATTGAGAAAACAGTTCAGTAGATATTTGTGGGTAAGCATGAGGACCTGAATTCAAATCCAAATACCCATGTAAACATCAGGTGGGCCTAGTGGCCCTCCTGTAATCCTAGAACTTGGGAGGTGGAGACAGGGGATCTAGGTATCCCTAAGAGGTGTGTCCTCAAGGTCAGAGAGATGGCTCAGCAGCTAAAGAAGCTTGCCACCAAGCCTGACAACCTGAGTTTGGTCTTGGGGACCCACGTGGTGGAAGGAGTGAACTAACTCCCTCAAGTTTGTCATCTGACCTCCACATAAGCACAGTGACATATGCCCCTCCCCCAGTCACACTAAATAGATAGATGATAGATAGATAGATGATAGATTAGATAGATAGATAGATAGATGATAGATAGATAGATAGATAGATAGATAGATAGATAGATAGATGATAAATGAAATTTATTTATTTTTGAAATGGTATCACTATGTAGTCCCGAGGCCTGGAACTCTACATAGACCAGGCTGGCCTTGAACTCATAGGAATCTACCTTCCTCTGCTGTGGTTATACAGGTATACAATGAAAAAGAGCAAGTGGGACAGAAAGAGATATGAAGTGTAGTTTAGAGAGAAAAAGAGCACTGGGAAGCTTTTAACAAAGCAAGGGCTGGGAGAGGCTATCATCATTCAGGAGGTTAATGCCATGGAGAAGAGGCCTCCTGCTCTGCGCGGGAACAAAGGGAAGACCCCACCCAGCTCAGTTTCCAACTAGTGAAAGGAAAAGGCCTAAGGAGTTTTCTGCTCCTAGAAAACAACAAAGTACAAAAGCTGCTGATAATGTGATTCAAGGGGGTGAGGGTCCGTTCCAAGCTGGCAGTGGAACTTGGCAGTGCTGTCCATGTGGTACTGGATTTGAAGGCAAGACAGACACAAGAATGAGGGGGCTGTAAACTCGTCCTCCACAGTTTCAGGGAGCTCCTGAGGCCAGCCAATGTGTGCCAGTGGTGGAGTCATTGCAAGAAGGGCCTTGAGAGGCAAGGAGACCATGAGAAGCCAGTGTGCAAAGCTGTTGAGGTGAAGCCTGGGTTGTGGTGGAGACCCCGAGATGTTGGAGATGCCAGAGTCATGAGACATCTGACAGGGAGAGTTGCATACAGGGAGTGGTACGAGCCCAAGAGAGAGATGTATGTTGTAGCAAGGCTAGAGGGGCTGAGCCATCTAAGCCCTTTGGAACTAAAGCCCCGGGTATTATACGTGGAGTTACAGGACTTGGGTTTTGTTCTTGTTTTGGCCTGGTATTTCCCCACTATGCCTCATTCCTCCACTTTGGAATGGGAATGTATACTCTGTGCCATCATATGTTGGAAATATGTAACTTATCTTTTTTATTTTATAGGGGTTATAGTTAAGAGATTGCCTTAAGTCTCAGAAAAAACTTTGGACTTTGGACTTTTGAACACTGTTGAGACTGTGAAAAATATGAGGACTTTTTTGCTTGTTTGTTTTTGTTTCAAGCATCTTATTTATTATTTAAATTTTTTAAATAACTACATGATTAGAAGAAGCATTTCATTACAGCTTTAACATATTCAGTAACACACTCCAGAGCAAGAGTACATCTCTCTCACAAGTGGCTGTAAGTTTCTAGGTTCACAGTTGAATTAATACAGTTACACAATATTGAACTCAGCATAAGCCTTGTAAGACACAAAACTGAATGACACACAAAAAAATTAACAATTTTAAAAAAATGTATTATATTTGAGGAGGAAGCATGGAAATTTACATCACGTTAATTAGTAGACGTGATAAACATTACCACTGAAATCTATCCGATGACTTTATAGACAAACACAGGCGCCAAGGATCCAAGTGCAACCGATTATGACTAGTAATAATCAGATACATACAGATTAGAGATGCATGCACCAACATCTCAGTGTTGGTAGCAAAAACAATGAGTCTTTCTGCAAGGAAGAGTATATTCTAAAATGAAATGGAGATCTTTCTTAAAGGTTAAAAACTCATTCAATTTTATGAGGACTTTTAAGTTGGACTAAGTGCATTTTGCGTTATGACATGACCATGAACCTCTGGGGGCCAGGGAGTGGAATGTGGTGGTTTGAATGAGAATGTCCCCCATAGGCTCATGTATTTGATCACTTTGTCCCCAGTTAGTTGGTGGCACTGTTTGGGGAGGTCATGGAATCTTTAGGAGATGTAGCCTTGCTGGAGGAAGTGTGTCCCTGGGGGGTGGTGCTTCAAATTTGTGGTTAAAGATGTGAGTCCTCTTCCTATTCTCTGCGGCCATGCCTCCCTGCCATGATGGACTTTTATTCCTCTGGAACCCTAAGCCAAAATAAACTCTTTCTTCCATAAGTTGCTTTGGTTGTGGTGTTTTAACACAGTAACAGAAAGATAACTAATACAGAAGTAAGCGTTTGGATTAAAGGTGTGCACTATTCCACCCAGCCAAAAGCATGCTTTTTTTAAAAGAGAGAGGGGGGAGGGAGAGAGGGAGAGACCCTTGCCTCAATATGTAAGGAGGAGAACAATCAAGGAAGATGCCATTATCTGACTTCCACACACACACACACACACACACACATATACACACACACACACACATATTTGAATACTCATACACACAAGCATACCACACACATACATATGCAAATAAAAAAGAAAAATACCTTCTATCTTTCACCAGTCTGTGTACTTCCACAGTCCAACATTATAACAGTTGTATGATTATTTTGAAAAAATTTTTTGATTCAGAGTCTCACTATGCAGGCCTGGCTGGTCTGGAACTCATTACCAAGTGCTGGGATTAAAATTTTAAATTGGCTTATATTTAAAAACGTTTTGATGGGGCTGGAGAGATGGCTCAGTGGTTAAGAACACTGAATGTTCTTGCAGAAGACCTGGGTTCAAATCCCAGCACCCACATGGCAGCTAACAACTGTCCCTAACTCCAGTTCCAGGGAATCCGACAGTCTCTTCTGTCCTCCATGGACATTGTACAACACAGGTGCACTTACCTACATGCAGGCAATACATGAATACACATAAAAATAATAAATAAAATATTTTGAAAAAATAAAATAAAAATAAAAATGTTTTGATCAGTGGACTTTGTCCCCAGAAGCATAGACAGTAGTCGTAGACAGATGGCCTTGTCTTGTTACTTATGACAAAAATGATTGGTCCAAGTGTGGGCATGTGCTCCACATAGGCTGGTCAGTCTTCTCCTAGCAATGCTGGACTGACCAGAGAGAAAGAAAAGACTTCTATGATGTGGCTAAGTTAAGAGGCATCTATGGAGGTCTGATGGGCTGACCCTGATGGTGATGACGGTCAAGTTTAAAGACAAGTTGGGTCAAGCAGAGATGCGAACTGGTAACAGGCAAGCCCAGCTGGCACCAAGCCCTGGCTTGGCCATGATTTCTGTAATTCATTGAGCAAACTGACCAAACCAAGAGCTCCAAAATATTATCTACTATGTGCCAGGCACTGAATGAAGAAATGGAAGGTATTACTACAACTTAAGTTATACCTGTATAAATTCCCTTGAACAATGCCCATTTGAATTAGGTTTCTGTTACAACCAGAACATTCTCTTTTTTTTTTGAAAAAAAAAAAGTGTGTGTGTGTTGTTTGCATGTGTGTGTACCTGTGTGCATGCCTGAGTGCATTCACTCATATGAGTTGGGTACATGTGGAAGCCAGAGACTGGCTTTGGGATGTCTTTCTTCTATCATTCTCCATCTTATTTTTTGAGACAAGGTCTTCTCTTTCAGAACCTGAAGCTTGCCATTTTGGCTAGACTGGCAGCCAACAAGCCCCTGGGATCCACCTGCCTCCATCCCCCAGCATTGAGGTTACAGGCATGAACCACTGTTGCCCAGCTTTTATGTGGGTGTTGGGGATCCTAACGTAAGTCCTTATGCTTGCACTTTACTCGCTGAGGCAAAAGAAGGAAAGAAGGGAGGGAGGGAGGGAAGGAGGGAGGGAGGGAGGGAAGGGGAGGAAGGGAGTAGAGGGAGGGAGGGGAGAGAAGGAAGGGAAGGAGGGAAGGGAGAAAAGGGAAGGGAGGGAAAGAAGGAGAGAGGGAAGGAGGGAAAGAAGGGAGAAGAGAGGAAGAAAACTCTTAAGATAGATTAAGCAGCTACTATACTCATTTGAAGAATGAGGGCCAAGAAGAAATGACAGGGTCTGGTATCTGGGTGGCCTTGAACTTTTGCTTCCCCAGGGCTGACTTTATAGTCACCATCTATTACCACTTACCTTGGGGTGACTTGTGCCAATCACGTTCAGACAGCAGCAGGCTTCCATCAGCACATTCAGGGCTATTTCCTCTCACATAAGCAGCATTCACTGGAATGAGGAGGGGGACACTGTCAGTCAGTCGTGCCCATGGACACTGCCCAACACATGATGGTTATAATGAGCTCGTAGCAGTCAGCAAGGGTTATCTGTACTGAGACTTGGCCTTTGAAGTCCTGAGAGATCCATGGCTATGAACTTGTGGAAAGGGGTCTGGAGAGATGGTGCAGTGGTTAAGAGCACTGGCAACTCTTGCAGAAAACCTGGGTTCAGTCCCCACCACCCACATGGTGGCTAACCACCATCCCTAATTTCAGTTCCAGGGATGCCCTCTTCTGACCTTTATGGGAAATGCACACACGGGTACACAAATACATGCAGGCAAAACATTCATACATATAAAATAAGAATAAGGAAATAAATGTTTATAAAAAAGAACTTGTGGAAAATAAGATTAAGATACAAGACCAGTGCAGTCAGCATTTAACTATCAGCCATGGTTAAAATATATTAATAATACTTGTGATTCAGTGAGCACTTCTACTTCTGTAACTGAAAAACATTTCACAAAACCAAACTTTACATATATTTATTATTTACTATATTTATACATTATATATTATTATATATACATATTTATTATTTAAATTTCTATTTCCCTTTAAAATTTTGAGACAAGGTTTCATCGTGTAGCCCTGGCTGGCCTGGAATTCACTATGTAGACTAGGCTGACCTTGAATTCATAGAGATCCACCTGCCTCTGGCTCCTGAGTGCTGGGATTAAAGATGTGAGCCATCACCCCTGGCACAACCAGTGCTCTTAACTAATGAGCCAACTCTCCAGCCCCCTTTGAAAGATTTCTTTTTAAAAATATTTTTTATTTATTTCATTTTGTGTGTGTATATGTGTGACCACGCATGTACCATAGCACATATGTAGAGGTCAGAGGACAACTTTTGGGAGTCTTTTGTCTTCTTCTGTCATGTGGGTGT